ATTCAATTTATTTTATTTTATTTTTATTATTATTATTATTATTATTATTATTATTATTATTTTATTAACTTCTTACTGACACCTTTTTTTGTTTTCAAGTAAAAAGTACCCTAGGGGTGTTTTTTTTTCTACCCTGCTTATACAACTGTCCATTTTTGGATATCACCACTATAACAGAAGCATTTAGTTCACCCATTCCTGCAGTTCCCACTCTCACCAGTAGATGTCATACTCGCCACATCGTTACAAAAATAAGTTGTGCTGATGATTTATTGGAGAATAATTAAATTCAGCCATGCAGGAACTTGTCATCATATTGGAATGTAGAGGGGGTTGTAAAGATTCTGGCGTCCTCATTCTACACCCTCCTCGAAATCTATGGACGAGCCATGAATTATGTACAGTTTGCAAACCACAGCAATTCACATTTACTGAGCCTCACCATGCAAAAATATTTTCTGTAAATTTGGTCCCTTGAGCTAATGGGAGTTTTAGGATATTGACTACAAAATATAATAATTCGACCAAGTGGATGTTAGCTCCTTGTCAGGTTGTTAAAACCTTCACATTCTCGAAAATAATGCAGAAGATGTGACCTCAGAGTCCGACATGGCACCTACAAATTACCATTTGTTTTACTGTTTAGCACACCTGCTCAGCAGTGTCACAACCTGTCTTTGATAACATCATAACTAAACATTGTTTTACCTGTGTGGTGGACAGATGGGGACAAATAAAGAGGTTTAGAACTGAGGTTATCTTCCTCCTGGACAAACAGACATGTTATCTAACATTATTAAATAGATATTAAACTAGTGCAGCTCCTTTAATCAGATCATATCCTTTTCCATTAGGCTACCAGGAAGCAGGCTGTGTGTGTCCTGTGCTGGCCTTATCTGATGAAACAGCACCCAGTTTGCTCCTTATCTCTTTCCACTACATTTAGATAGCTGATGGGATATATTATACTGTAGGCTATATCATGGGTAACTCTGGGTTCATCAAGCTCACCAGTGTACTGAAAAATGAAGACCTGTAGAGTTAGATTGAGAAGTGCATATTTAGCTGTTTGGTAAATATGTGTAAAGAGAGCAAAGTTCACAGGACAGCGCTCAGAAGCAGAGAGATCATTCACATCTGTTTATGATCATCACCTTATTAACTAACATGATAACATAAGGAATATAGTAGGCCATCCATTCATATGAGATAATCTTGTTCAGGGTGCTGCTCCCTGTACAAATTGGGCAAGAAGAAGGCAACACTCTGGACTCTGGTCCGTCGCAGGGCCAACACCCACCCACACACACACACACACACACACACACTCACACACACAGAAAGAGAGAGACTAACACACTGAGTTACTTAACTTGCCTGTCTTTGGACTGTGACAGGAAAAACCACACAGAAACAGAGTTGTCAGCCAGCTATGATCAAATAGGTCTCAAATAGTCATTCACATACAGCAGAAACTTTTCACCGCAGACAATGGGTATGTTCACATTCACATTCACATTAAATTCCACTTATATCCCAAATTGCCAGATATCAGACAGAACTGTCAGCTTGTTACACTCCAGAATCAGCCAAAGAAAAGCCCTTCAATAAAATGTCAGCATTGTACATTTCTGCAAACCACAGATATGTTACATTTGTACATTTCACACTTATCAACGTTTCTTAAGTGACATAGTCCAGATTACATGTATACAAGCTGAGTTTCTCATTAGAAGGATGGCGGATGGCAGATGGCGTGATACCTAGGAGAGACAGCTGCCAAGAAGCAGACCACTGTTTGAGACCCACAAACAACAAAAACAAGTATTTTCAAAGAAACAGCAGGACCTTTCCAGCTGTGTTTGTGGCAACTAAACCAGGTAATTTTTAACCTCACTTTGGGACATTTCCAGCAGTGTTTGGTAACAAAACCAGACATTTTTTTATCTTGACTTCAGAACATTTTCAGCTGTGTTTATGGTGACAAAACTGGGTATTTTTAGATGATTTGTTGGGACATTTACAGCCATGTTTGTAGCAACAAAATCAGGTATTTTTTTAATAAGATATTGGTACATTTTCATTTTTGTTTGTAGTGACAAAACCAGGTATTTTTTAATAAGATATCAGTACATTTTCATTTATGTTTGTGGTGAAAAAACTGCATATTTTTAATAAGATGTCTGGACCTTTCCAACCATATTTGTGGTTACAAAACTGGATATTTTTTAACGAGATATTGAGACGTTTCCAGCCGTGTTTGCAGCGACAAAGCCCGGTATTATAAGCTAAAGCATGATCTTTTCATGTTTCAACATATCCACTACAAATAGAATTAGCAAACTTATCATACAAAATGTACAATTACAGCATATCTATTGTTTGCAGTAACGCACAATGCCAACATTTACTCTGGTGATTGTGTTGTAAAACTTGAATAATGATTATTATATAATTATATAATAATTTTGTGACAGTCTAAAAGTAATAGAGCAGGGGTGTCAAACACATTGTAGTTCAGAGGCCACATAGAGCCCAGTTTGATCTCAAGTGGGCCCGACCACTAATACCACTGCATGATAACCTACAAATATCAACCCCTTTAAATTCTGAAATGTGCAGATTCAATTATACGTCTTAGTTTTCCACATTCAGTCAGTCTACTACTCACTGTCATTACATGTGACATTTTTTTCATAATTTAAAAGTGGAAGCTATTAAAGAAGCAGGTTAAGTCATCCCCTGCCTTACAATCTGAAGTTTTGTCAGTGCCTCAGCAGCAGCGTTCCACTAATGAATTTTTAGTACTGAACACACAGGCAGTCAAAGGGAAAGCCAACACCATGATTCACGACCCCTCACACCCATTCCACAGTTCATTTCAACTCCTCCCATCTGGCCGCCGTTACAAGGTATCATTAGCAAGAACAAACATAGTAAAGAATTCATTCATTCCAACTGCAATCAACATTATCAATAAATCGTAAGGGTTTGACTCACCTATGGCAAGTGTTCTTAGTTTTCTGTGTGCTACTTTAAACTACACTGTTATGTCTTTGATGTCTTTTTATCTGTTTTTTAACCTGTGTCTTATTTATTATGTGAGCCATGTCAAAGACGAATTTCCACTGCTTTGCAATGGACAATAAAGTTTTTTTGATTCTGATTCTGATTCTTAAGCTGCTGGTTGACAATATTTTGCATAATGTTCAATATCTTTATCTTTGTCTTATCTGCTCACTGTTGAAATTTCTCCTTAAACCTCCCAGCCTTCACATGTTCATCAAGATTAGAAGTGCAAAGTCATCTAGAGGGCCAGATTGGACCCTTTGGTGGGCCAGGTCTGGCCCGCAGGCCGTATGTTTGACACCCCTGTAAAAGAGCATAACCCACAGTTATTCCTGTGGTTCACCTTTAATTATTTGCCCTTTGTAGCACATAAAATGTTCGGAGATACTCTTGACCATGAGCTCTTATCATGAAGAAGTGTTCCTGACTGATGTGTTGTTTTGCATATAAGGAAACACTGTGTGTGGTGCTGTTTGG